ACATCTTGATGCTTGTTGCAAAGTTCTCACAATGAGGCATTCTGCCAAATGACTTTGACAGTCTGCTCAGGGAACCACGCGACAGGATCAACCTTCTCCTTTTCCCACAGGGTGTTAAGGATGTTATGTGCTGACTACTTCCTGATAGACTTGAAGTTAGAAGTGTTTTTCTGTTCAATTTTTTCCACAAAGGATAGATGATATGGAATGGTCCAATTACTTGAAGCATTCCGCAGCCAGGCCCATCCTTTGTAACACCTCAGACATGTAGAACTTCAGTACATAGTAACACTTGGTGTTGGCATAACGAGGGTCTACGCACAGTTTGATGCAGCCACACACAAAGTTAGCCATCAAGATGAGAGCAATTGTATGTATGTCCTTCCCCCCAATTATCCAGACCTTTGTACATGGTGTCCCTGCAGACACAGTCCATCTTTGACCTCCAGATGAAATGGAAGATGGCTTAGGTGACTGCAGTGGTGCAGGCTCAGGAAATGGGCCAGACCTAAACCACATGCAACAACATGGATAGTACCTCACATCTGATGACCAGGTTTTTACCAGGAATAGAGAGGCACCAGTGCTCCTATTAGCCCAATTGCTGCCTCACTTTGACAATATGCTTCTTCCAAGATTTTGCACATGCCCCAGTCCCTCTGAACCATTTACCCAGCACCTTCAAGTAATCTGTCCTGACAGTCTTTTTGCTAAAAGTCAGGATCAACTCATAGGTGAAACATATAAAGAATTGAGTGATTTTCTTCCCCAGAAGTCAGGGGTGACTTTTACATAGGATTGACCATTATTCAAATTTATCTTGTACACTGATAGCTGAAACAATTATTAACCACCAGCCAATTAGGAAAAGCTATAACTTAAAGTGTCACAACTGAAATATTAGCAAATCTATTTTTAAATTAGAAGAAAATTTAAGTTAGCATTTCCTGATTATAATTATTTCATTTGCATTATTTATGCATTGCTCTGTTATTTTTACCTTCCTGTAAAATGCACAGATGACAATACACCAAGAAAAGTACAGAAGCAAGCAATCACTTAAAGCATATAGATTCAAAGCCTACGTACACAAAAACACTGCCAAGAGATTTAAAATGCACAAAGATGTGGGAAAACATTTTAACATATTTTTCTTTTTACTACTTGTCCAATATCCCATGTTGGGAAACAACAGCTTGCAACTATTTAGATATAAAATACTAAAATCAGGGACCACCTAGCTATTGCATGTGAACATGTTAGATACCCTGCCCACTCAACTCTGCAAAGTCGTCCTCACTACTATTTGGGGACCTAGTTCAAATTTTACAGAGAGTTCCCACAGATGAGTCAGACAACGGCCTGACATAAGCACAACACATATCTTTCATTCAAATACACAGGCTCCTGCATCACCATCAGGAGGTATATTCAGTGCCATCAAGAAGAGAGACCCGTCAGGAGTGGCTGCACAGTTGAATACAGTCAGAAGGGGGGGGCACAGGAATCTTCAACATTGACACCAGACAATATGAGGTATCATGGCATCAGGATAAACAAGGCAAGGAAACATCCTGTAGATTATCACGACCTCCTTCCTTCAGACGATGAGTCATTACTCCTCCATATTAATATCATGGTCAGATAATGAACTGAGCAATGGCCAAATTCAGCAAGACATGGTCCACTTTCAGGTTTCTCTGCTTCCAGCATACCATCCAAGTCACATACCATTGTGACTTTGAAATATATCCCCATTTCCTTTTTGTTGTTGGATCAAGATCCTCACCGCAGGGCCACCAACCATTTAAGAGTCAAGCTCACCACCACCACCTTCTCAAGTGCACTTGAGAATAGGCAATAAATGTGGCCATGCTGCCATTTGATTAAAAAGAGCATGCATAATGTATTGTTGTTTGCATGAATAACATCGAACAAATATATTTTAAATATTTATTACAAAATACTATGAATCTACTCCTCACATTACCAAATTATAAACAATAATAACTATTCTTACAAAAAGTTGTCTAGCATTTATCATGAATGCAATGTGAACAACTACTTCATTAACAGAAACCATATTGTGGAGTACCTTCATTGTTTAATGAATTATGAAGCCCAAAATTCTCACATATCACAATTACAGTGAAGGTAATGAAAGCCTTTATCAATTACAAAATACAAAATTGAAATCCTCTCATGTTGAAAATATTTTGTGAACATTAATATGCAACATGTTTATCTAAAAATAATTTTAACTTCAGTATTGTAATTAACACAATGTTGTACATTCACGTTGCCATTGAAGAGATTTCTATTTTGCGCTGACACTAACCTGCTAGCGTAAAACTTCCTCAACTAGACCCTGGTGTGAAACAGCGGAAAAACTTCGGGAAAATTGTTTCCTTCGTTTTATGTCTGACACACGATGGAGTGTAAACCCAATTGGACTATTTTGTGAATGACAACTTTGTAAAATATCCAAGAGTCCAGTATATAGATTGTAAACTTAGCTGGCACATTTTAAATGATTAGTGAGGCGCAACTCCCACCCTCGTTTTTCAAATACACAAAATTTCAAAAAGTTACGGAAAAAATGATCAGTGACACGGGCAAACACACTCGCTCTACTCAGTATAGAACAGCTGAACTTTCAGCCAGGTAGGAGTCGAGCAATGCAAATAGGTTCTGTTAGCTGGAACCCAATCAGTTTTAGACCACTTGTGGCTGTACTATAAATACATCTTTAGATAGCCATCAAGTATTTCCGCATTTGACTGTAAGTGAAATGTAAGGATAAGGTTTGAGTTAACAGACGTGCCTTTTACTCTCATACAAGGACTAACAATTCCTTGAACGCTCTTTTTCAGAGCGAGTAGAACTCAGTCTCCATAAACGAATCCATTATCAAAATATTTTGAAAATTCATCTGTGCTGCACGTGAAATACATGTATATATTACTGTTAATACTAACAATGAAATTGGACTTCACTTGGTGACCAATAAAAGCTAGTTACTTTTTGGGTTGCGCTATCATTCGACCCATTTAGTGTAATTTCGAAAGGGAAAAGAGAGCGGGACGGGAGCAAAGAGGAGATGTTAGATAATTTACTCTAAAAGGCGAAAGTCCATGCAGTGGATTTTTTTTTCACATTCCGGTCACAATTGAATCCTGGCCGCGCTTTAGAATGATTGCTAGTGCGTTTCCAATGAATAACGTGTCTTTATTACAGTACAGTGCTTGTACTTCCGGCATTCGCCTCCCTTTTGGACCTTACACCGGTGTTTTGCGCGCTGAATTCCCTCCGTAAAACTTGTTCGTCGATTTCACTTTTTTAAAAAAAATCTTTTTTGACGATTACTGTAGCCTTCATTCGGTACGGCCACGAAACAAGTTGAATGACAGATCATTTGTGGCTGTCACTCAGATCAACCCGCGCTCACTCTCTGGAGACAACGATCCCAACAAGACCCAATGAGAAAGTGATATGAGCAAATCAACTCAGTTTCGGGAAATTTACACATTCATTTCAGGTCGGCAAATATAACAGCAGAAATTCTTATTCACATTCGTATATTATTGGACACGTTTTTAATGGAGAAAGATCAGTTATTTTCCGCGTTTGTAACAATAAACAGGTTGAACATAAACCATAATAAAACATTATATATACTTATGATCCTTTGTGTATCATTTAACCACCTGCTCTGACGACTGTCAAACTGTTCCCACTTCATTGACGACATAAATTAACTGATCCCAGTATAACTGGATGGATTTTGCTCATTTGTGCAGTACTTTAACAGTTACCACACAAATTCCATATATATTAATGAACGAATAATGTTGCAATTACAAATATAAATTGTTGCCGAAGGTTTAAAAAAAGTACCATTTTGCTCAACAAAGTGCGGTTTCTAATATTTGCACTGGCCACCCGTACTTAGATATGAGAAAATGTGCTGTTTATTTCTGTATCGCGAGGGTAGACTGCCAAAAAGAGCAAATTTTTGAAAATAACAACCTCGGCAGTTAAAGGCAGCTCTCATCAAGTTTTATCTTTCGAAATTTTGCAGAATATTCAAATTATTCCTATCCTATAACTAACTGTCATTGTTGCTTTAGCACAAGTATCTGGTAGGAGTTGCTATAACACCATCAGGAAATAAACTATTTAACAATGTTATAAATTTACTTGCTTCTCTCGAGAAAGGACAGAAATTATTGTCTGCCCACCTTAACAGAGAGCTTTGCCCTCCAAGAATGTGCAGTGTTTTCATGGACTTGCACCTGACATGTACCTGTGGCCTTTGCTGAAGACGCCGCCGAAACTTTGGTGCATTATAAACATCAAATGTATTTAAAATAAACTTTTCCACGTAATTCAGCTGGTTGCTAAATTAACTGATCGATTACGCGCCGTGCTGTTTTCCAATTTCAGCCTTTAGATTTACTCCGCTTATGAAAGCCGTTTGTTTCGAACATACATAGCAATCTATTTTTATATTCAGGTAGGTGTGTTTTTGTAACTCATGGACATATTATTTGGTTCTCAAAGTGTGAATAATACGGTAAATGACAGTGTTAAAATCGCGCGCTCTCCCTCTCTGTCTGATGCATGCAGTCAAGATAACAGGAGGCTCCCGCTGGGCATTGCCCTTTAAACGCAGTGAGGGGCTGGAAGAAATGCGAGACTTTTCACACCCCGGGCCTGGAGCCGGGGGAGGGGGGAGCGCGGGGGAGAGACCCATCGCGACCCGCCCTCCTAAGGCCAATTTCTGATTGATGTTCCTGCTAACCAATAGATGACGGATTATCACGAATGTTTGTTCACATGATATGGAAGTTGGACCAATAGCACGGAAGGAGGGATGGAACGCCCCCGCTGCATCCAACGTGGGTCGCGGCTGGCAAGCGCGAGCGGCTTCACATTAACGGCTGTTCGCAAACGGCTAGCAGTTGAGTCAGGAGGGTCGGGGGTGGGGGGGGAAATATAGTGCAGAACAACACCGTGAGGCTACGGCGGGGGAGTTCCTGCTGAACTTGGCTTTCTTTCGAAGTAGGAGAGCGAGCGAGTTACCTACCCTCAGCCGATCGGTGTGTGGGCTGGAGCTGCGGCTCTTGGGTTGTGTTCGTGGAGCGGCGATCGCTCGGTGCGAGGCAAGATGGCGGCGCTGGGGCTGCCGGCGCTGCTGCTGCTGCCCCTGTTGCTGGCGTTGAGCACCCCTCGGCCGGCCGCGTGCACGGGACCGGGACGTGGAGGCGGCGCTCGTTCTGTCACCCCCGGGGCCTTGCCATGCATCCCGGGCTGTACGTGCAGCGGGGAGCAGCTGGATTGTAGCAAACAGGCCTGGACTCACATTCCCCGCCAGCTGCCTTCTTGGGTCGTCTACCTGTAAGTACCCTCGAGGTGTTTGCATCATCTGCTAGGACCTGTCAGGATTGGGATGAGGAGTGCGCAATCCACCATTTACCACCTAGTGTACATTGCACTGAAGCTGCAAACTTCAGGTCTTTACCGCTGCCTCCAAAATACACCGATCATAGCCATGACTAGTTGGCATTGCAGGTTTCAAAGAAACTCGAATATATGGTCACTTTCTTAGCTTTTAAATACCCGGACATTATAATTATTCTCAGAGGCGAGCTTTGCTTATTCCTTGTTATACAGAGATGCATGTTCATCAATGCAAGTTCAGGAATGTGGTATTTATTTGTGGTAACGTATCGGACCTCGCAGTGAGCATGGGTTGTGCTCACTTCTGAATTGTTGCACAATGGAAGAATAAGTAAGGGTTTGTTGACATTTGAATTTCTTTCATCCCGAATACAATCTACATATTTGTCTAGTCTAAAATCCTGATAGATTTGTTTATTCTTCACTCTTTGGCCTGCTGAAAGGGGTGCAACTTTAGTACAGCAATATCGAAGTCTTGCCAGCAATTCTTTGCATTTTTTGAGTTTCGAGTGTTGGGACATAACTGTTGTGAAGCAAAATGTGGACGAAAAATTAGCCTTGGGAAGACGACGGGGTAAAGGATCGTCAGTTTTCCTCAGCGTTTTGCGTCACTTGAGATTGAAATTGGTGACCGTAGAAAATTCCATACTTGGTAGAATTTAAGAAAAATGGATTGGTTTAGTTATTTGAAACTTGTGGTTTCATTATCAAGTCACTTAAACAGTAAGTTTTGCAAGAATCGACCGTTAAACAAAAGGAGACTGTATATATGTGACACTTCGTTCAGGGTATTAACCAAACTATTAACAGGCGTAGATAATTATTGCAATTTGCCTTCAATGTGATTAATGTGTTTGTTAAACTTTGACTTTACTTATTGTAGCATCTTTTGCAATTTTTTCTTTCTTGGCTATTGCGGGCTGACCCATAACTAGGTAATTAGGCGGCTCACTTGTGTTCGCTGGCGATATAGTTTTTCCAGAGACTGCTCGGTTCATTGTCACTGCGACGTGGTTCTCATTCACTTGGCTGTTGCCCGGAGATGTTGATTGGCAACATGCCTGCCTCGAGTTCAGTGCACATATGGTCCTAATGCTCGATGCAGCTTTGCAAGTTCTATTGTAGCTATGCCGGATTTCTGATTTTGCTAATATTAGTAAAAGCGCATTTAAAATAGAAGTATATATCCGAGTGTTAATCTGCATGGTTTCCATCTTCGAGGAAACGTATCCTTTTTTCGCGTCTTTGTGGCTAGCTTCGTTCGTTTAGATTTATCACTTTTGAATGCGCTTTAACTATATTGCTTGGGCACTGCTAAGAGTTACTCCCTTCTACATTTATTTACAATACGGGGATGTTGAGACGATTGGAAACAAACTGTTTTGCCAAGATGAGTCTGGTGACAAATTATTTCAATTCTGAAATTATAGTGAGTGCTTTTCGTTACCTTTGCTCAAAAGGGCAGAACTATTTGCTAACCCTTTTAAGATTTGCAAAACTTAAAATAAAATCTCCACCTAAAGGCTTAGCAAAATTATTTATTTATTAAAATAAACTGCCTAAAAATAAGGTAATAATAAGTTCTCCTCTATTCGATGTTATTGATCTCAAATGAATAGCAACTGGGTAATATAATTGACCTCTGCTTGCTTACTTTGAGGAGGGGAGCATTGGTCAGAATTCCCACTCCTGATTATTGGTCAGTGACTCATACGGGAAGTACTAATGGACAATGGATGTCAGCATGATTGGTTATGATGCATTCCACAGTCAAATAACAATTTGAGCCAACTGTCTAGTTTTTTATTCATTAATGAGATGAGGGTGTTGCTGGTTTTGCAGCATTTATTGCCCATCCCTAATTGCCCAGAGGGCAGTTCAGAGTCAACCACATTTCTGTGGATCTGCAGTCACATGTAGGCCAGACCAGGTAAGGATAGCAGTTTGCTTCCCTAAAGGACATTAGTGAACCAGATGGGTTTCTTCGACAATTGACAATGGCTTCATAGTCATCATTAGTCTCTTAATTTCATATATTTTTATTGACTTCAAATTCCACCATCTGCTGTGACGGGATTCGAACCTGAGTCCCCAGAATGTTTTCTGTATCCCTGGATTAACAGCCCGGCAATAATACCGCTAGGCCATTGCATATAGTCACATAGCACAGAGACAAACCCTTTGGTCCAACTCATCTGTGCTGACCAGACATCCCAATCTGATCTAGGAGATAGCAAGAACTGCAGATGCTGGAGTCGGGGTCGATACAGCGTGGAGCAGGAGGAACACAGCAGTGTCCTGATGAAGGGTCTAGACCTGAAACGTTGGCTCTCCTGTTCCTCTGATGTCACCTGACTAGCTGTGTTCCTCCAGCTCCACACTGTATCAATCTGACCAAGTCCCATTTGCCAGCATTTGGTCCATATCCATCTCAACCCTTCCTATTCATATATCTCTGTGTGAAAAAATGACCCCATATGTCCGTTTTAAATCTTTCTCTCCTCATACATTAAACCTACATCCTCTAGTTTTGGACTCTTTTCCCCCACCGCGTGCGCGCACACACACACACACACACACACACACACACACACACACACACACAC